TTCTGCAACGTTTTGTTGTTCAGGACCCCCCCCCCCCCCCCCATCCTAATGGCGCTCCCGGGTGTCTCGCACTACGAGCGCATGCCGACCCGAGTGAAGGTCCAGTTCTTCTGGATCTCCATGCTAACGATGGGCTTTGCGTATCAGTTTCTGAAGATGACGGTCCTCCGTGTGCAGCCAAAGCGGGAGGAGCAGATGTACGTGCATATCAGGAAGATCTACGGCGACAACATCCCGGCGGAGCTGCTCGACATGGCGAAACGCCAGCGTGAGGCGCAGGACGCGCTGACGCTCACCAACATGCTCCGCACCCCGACACCGGGTCAGACGTCCAACGCCCTGCAGAACGAGTTGGACCCGCGTGCTCTCATCGACCTGAAGAGCTGGAACGGCTATTGAGGAAGAAGGGCGGCTGCTCGGATGCGGGAGACCGTGAAGGGGTGGCTCGCGTTTCCGTATTAGCGGTACATCCTTGTTTTTCTTCCTTCGCCGTTGCTTCTGTGGTGTTCGTAGACTCCCCCCTCCAAATGAGGAGGCGATCGTGTTCCGCAAATTTCCTGCTGCGTGTTCTACTGCGAGTTGTCGCTGTGCGTCAATAGTTTGCTGTTCTTATTATTTGTTTTTCTCTATCATCTGCATCTTCGTGCCGGCAGCGAAGTTCACACATGCAAGTAACAATGAGAAACACGAAATGACAACGTGCGAGCGACGGAAGTCGCGGTGCCGATCCCGTTTGACGCACGAGCCACAGCTGTTTGGTTCTGGTCGACGCGGGTGCAGGACCCCCCGAAAAGGCGACGCAGAGGAGAATCGAGAAGAGAGACTGAAGGCCGAGCGCCGCCTTGTTCTTCTCTTTCCTTTCTCGCTTTGCTTGAAGGCGCCTGCGTGCAGGAGGGAGAGGACGGCCGCCAGCTTCTATTCTCCGACTTACACACGCACACGCACTCTCTTTCGCCATTTTCTGGTCACCCCTCTTCTTCTTTTCCATTTTTCTTTTCCCGCGTTTGCCGGATTCCCCCCCGCGAAGGGGCAGAACACCGCCGACCTTTTCTTTGTCGTCTCCAGCTGCAGCGGCTCCGTTGTGTCCTTTACACCTGAGAGGACACCTACGGGTAAACGAAGAAGGAGGAACTCAACCAGCTGTGTGTGCGCGACTTGTTTTCAGTAGGATATATATAAATAAACGAAAACACATAAACAAACACGTATTTTTGACTTCGGTTTTTGGATGGAGCTCATTTCAATTGTTTAAGAGTATTTTCCCTTCTTCTTCTGTTTTAGTCCTCCGCTAATTCCGCGTCGAAATCATGCGTGTTCTAGTGCATGTTCGCGAGAAGATCATCCCGCTACAGTGCGGGGACGGCACGCAGCAGGTCATGTGGCTGGGCAACGCTGCCATGATCCACTACGACGCCAGCTTTGGCAAGAAGTTCGGCCCTCCCGTTTCGATACGGAAAGAGGGCGGCGTGCAGTGCGATTTAGAGGCGCGTGTGTGCGACGTGCTCGACGATGGCCAGCACGTCTTCGTCACGCTCGAGGTGGACGAAGTGGAGGCGTAGGCGCAAGGCGTTTGCGCTGGTCCAGAACGCTGCTGTTGCTGCTGCTGCTGCTTCCCCCTCCTCTTTATTTGTGTTTTTGCGGAGAGGAAAGAGAAGGCAGCGGCCCCATCTGCGTGGCACGTTGTGGGGTTAGCTTTTTTTTTAAATTCCTTCGTGCCTCAACACTTCATGGTTCTCGATCGATGTAAACCAACTTGGTAGGATTGCTGTCCTTTCTTCTCTTCTTCCGTCTTTCTACAGCGGACATCCCCCATGTATTTCGACCGACTGCTTCCCTCCCCTCCTCTCCCCCCCGCTCGGACGACGTGAGCGTGCAGAGCGGGTGCGTTTGTTTGGTTGTGGTGGTGCCACACGAATAGTTCTCTGAGCTGCCAATAAGAAGAAATACAAAAATGATTATTGAAGTGAAAGTCACGACTCTCTCGTGGGCGGACTTCGCGTGTCTGCTGTGCCGGCAGAAGATGGCTTTTGACAGACTCAAACCATCGAAGGTGATGTGGGCCCGTCGAACGAAGAACTCCTTCATTTGCCTCTTCGTATTTCTCTCTCCCTCTCTCTCTCTTCTTTTTCCTCGCCGGCTGCGCATCGCCTACTGTAATGCTGGCCTTTCTCGCTCTCTTTCCCCTTTCTTTCTTATATACAAGAGCGCACCCAAACGAGGCGGACCTTCTCTCAAATAGAAGACCCTCCGTTTTCTATCCACCACCCCAAGAACGAAGCAACCAAACAGAACCCGCTGCACTCTTCTGTTGTCGTTGCTTGACTTACACAACACGCGCAGCGGCGAACGTAGAAAGGAAAGAAGAAAAAAACTCACATTAGTAGAGGCCCGTAGTGCTAACGATGTCTGCGCGAAACACCGGCATTCCACGCGTGGCCCGCACCGTCGCGAACGGGGAGGGCGACTGGGCCGAAGTTCCGTACGCCGTACGCGACGCAATCGTGCTGGCGCTTACGCAGTCGTCCGTAGCCCCCCTGCGCCGCCTCAAGGAGAGTGCTTCCGGCGCCGGCCCGGGTGCGGTCTCGAGCGCTGCTTTCACGCCTTCCCATCCTCCACAGCCGTCACCGTCCGCTGACCTTTCTGTCTTAACGGAGGGCAACGTGCAGAGCAGCATCCGCTCCTTCGAGGACGCTGCGTGGGTGCGCGACGAGGCGGTGCGGAGCTTCGCGGAGTTCCACAACACCGTCGAGGCACTGCACGCCGCGATGCGCACCCAGCTGCGCCCCGTGTGGAGAACTGCGATGCAGCTGCGGCCTGATATTCTGGCCGACGTGCGCGACCGCCTCCGGCTGAACCGCGCTGATCTCATACCGGATGGGGTGGCGATCCCGCCGGCCACCGCGCAGCACATCGCGCAACAGGAGAGGATTCTAGACGAGGTCGAGGACACGCTGCAGCAGCTGCGGAACACGTCGGTGCGCTTGGCAGCCCATTTTCTGTCGGATGAGGAGAAAATATCGATGGGGGCCAATCCAGCCTATTTGCGGGCGCCGGACATCGACCGGGTGGTGGTGGAGTCGAGTGGGCAGAGCTGCACGCAACGCCTGTCACCGGCCCCGGCAGCTCTGTCCACGCCTGCGACGCCGTCGGCCAAGGACAGCGCATCGCACCGCCGCGCAAGTCAGAGCAACACGCGTGCGCATCAGGAGGAGGGCCTTGTGAGCTCCAAGATGAGCCGCCGTGCCCACGGTGGACGCAGCACCACCGCAGGTACCCCGTCGCCGTCTTCGCACTCTCGCAGCGAGAAGCACCATGGCGGCCACGAGCACCGCCGGGCATCAGCGGCCAGCGCAGCGATCAACGACCCGCTGCTCGCGGAGCTTCGCAAGCAGTACCAACACCGCCAGGAGGAGCTGGAAAGTCATCATCGTCAGCGTCGCAGTGGCACGTCGCCGGAGGGGCCGCGCGTGGCGTGGCCGCAGGTCGGCTCCGTGGCGAGCAGCCGCAGCTCCCGTGCGAGCTCGACGCGATCAGGAAACGAATGTCTTTCGAATTCGTAGAGTGAGAGGTTTGTTCGTGTGCTGTACCAATAGAGACATACAGCGAGAGAGTGTAGCTGTTTGGGTGCCCTGCGCGTCAGCAGGAGACGCGGACACCGTATTCTTCTTAGTTTCTTTTCTTTCTCTTCGAAGCTGCGCTGCGCTGCACAGGCGTCGTGGTACTGCCTCTTGATTCCCCCCCGCTTTATTGCCTGTCGTCCGCATTCATTGTTCTCTTCTAATTCTTCCGTTCCTGTCCTCAACACCGACTCTTTTCTTTCTCTAGATCGCGTCGGTACAACCACGCAAAGACAACAGTAACACCAAATAACATGTACGACGCTGACTGCAATGGAGCTACCTCTGCGCACCGCGCATTTTCAGAGCTGCCCGGCGTAGCACTCGCGCGCTTTCCCTTTTGTCTCACTCTCTCTCTCTCTGCGACGCGCAGAAGATGGCGAGATCTGCGTGACGTACGTAAGGGTCCGCGACGTGGACTCGCATCACACCGACGATGTTTCTTACTGCGTTTGTTTTCTTCTGCATTCCGCCTTGTCATCTTCCTTTCCCTTTTCCGCTGCTTTCTGCCGCAGGTCATTCGCTGACACGGCAGCGGCGGTGTTGCACACACACACACACACACACACACAGAGAGAGAAGCTCTCCGCGACTTTTCTGTGTCGTTCTATTTGTAGAAGCTAATTATCTTATCTGGTTTCCACACCAGCAGTTTTATTTCCCCCCTCCCCCGCTCTTAGAAGCCTCCCCCTTCGGCTTTATATCGCTGCCGGACGCCATCGCGACGCGTGTCGGTTCTCATTATTGTATTTATTTATTCCTTCGCTAGTCGCACACTCCAATCCGCCATGTACTTCGATCACTCGCCTTCGCAGCGGCAGCAGCAGAGCCGCTACGCACCGCGCTCCACATCCCCCGCCTCCACCGCCACCACAACTCTCTTACCGTTTCGTCGCAGCGAGCGCGGCGTCAACCTCGCAGTGGCGCTGAGCCCGGTGCAGGGCTACCTGCAGCCGCAGTGGGCTGTACCGAGCGCGGCGGCAGCAACCCAACGGCCACCCTCACCTCCGATGCGAGATTCATTTCAAGCACAGCAGCAGCGGGGGGCGTGGACAAGCGCTGCAGCACCGCATGCGTACTGTGTACGCGGACACCCCGACGCACCCAGCGCGCAGCTGTACGGTCGCTCTCCGTACCGAGAGGAAGACGGTGATGAAGAGGCCGCCGCTGCCGCCTCCTCCGCCGCACCGCCAGCAGCCTTTGCGGCGGTGCCGACCGTCGTTGTGAGCGACGCGGCCCGCTGCCCGTCCCTGTCGTCGTCGCCGTCCCCCCCGCTGACGTCACGGCGGCCCTTCGCCACTTCTCCCTCCGCCGCGGACGGTGCGGCAGCTGTCGGTGGGTGCACCGCCGCGCGACGAGCCGGCATCGCGCCCAATCGCTTTGATCGGGTGGTGGGCGCAGCTGAGCCGCCGTCGTCCTCTGCCGCCCGCCCACGTGGACGCGGCATTGCGGAGGTCCGGCCGGGCTGCACGACGTCCACGGAGCGGGTTCGCTACCGCAGCAACGTGACGAAGAAGCTCATCGACCTCTACGACGAGGTCGCAGAGCTATACGAGTGCCGCGGGAACATGACCTTCCAGGTGACGCAGGCAATGCGGAGTGACCCGCGCTACACGAAGGAGAGGCACGGCGAGGTGCGGCTGGCGTACAAGCCCGCCCCGGCGCAGCAGGCCGCCGTGACCGCTGTCGAAAGTTCGCTGGAGGCCCTGCACGACGCGTGCCACGAGCTGGTGGCGGCCTACCTCACCCCAGAGGAGAAGCGCTACCTCGGCATCGATACGCACCTCTTCCAAACGAATGCGGAGAAGAAGTCCACCTACCAGTACGCCCCGGCCAATCCAACGAGTAAAGCCCCACCGGATTCGCCGTCCCAGCAGGAGGAGGGGAGCACCAACACGGCGCGCCCCCCGTCCGTTTCGTCCGGCTCGCAGCACGAGCAGCGGCCATCGCACCCGGACGGCGTGAAGTTCACGACACAGGCGACCGCGGTGCCTTCCACTTCCGCGGCGGCACCGTCGTCGAGGCAAACGCCGACGCCGACGCCGCAGTACTCCCTCGCGTCGGCGGCCTTCCAAGAGGACCAGGCCGTCTCCGCGAACAACACCAATTACAACGAGAACACGCAGCTGAACACGTCAGCGGATCAGCCGTATTCCTTGATTGAAGCCTCCGCCATCGTCTCTCCTTCCACGGCAGCTGCTTCCACGACACACAATGACCCAGCACAAATGAACCGCGCTGCCCTTCCTCCTTCACTTCCACCTCCTGCTGCCGTGTCATCGGTGTATCCCCCGCCACAGCAGCAGCAGCAGCAGCAGCAACAGCCGGCAGCGGTGGGGGTTCCTGCGGCAAGTCAGCGGGAGGCGGCCACGGATGACACCGTCGCGGTAGGCTCGGTCAGCTCGCCGGAGCGGATGTACGCGCCGGCGGGGTCGACGTCGAGCCTCGGCGGTGGTGCATGGCCGTCTGACACGGCTACGGCCACCGCGCGAGCGTCGCCCGTCGCGCCACGGCCATCGGTGCCTGCCAAAGTGCTGGTGCAGCCGCCACCGCCCTCGGCGGTTGGTGCTGGTCGCAACGGTGCCTCCGCGAGGGCGTCGTGTGCGCCGCCGAAGATGCCACCAGGGATTCCGCCGGGCGCAAAGCTGGTGAAGATGCCGATGGGTGTGCCTCCGCCTGCAGCAGCAGCAGCAGCAGCGACGACGACCACCACCGCCACAACGGATGCGGCGTTGGCGTCTTCTACTGTTGCTGCAGCTGGTGGTGGTGGGTTGTCGGCGTCCCACCCGCCGATGCACCCACCAAGCCGCAACAGCTCCTTCACCAATCGCACTGCCGCGGCGGCTCCAAAGGCGCCTGCGATGCGGGCCGAGTTTAAGCGGTTTCTGATCGACTCGGACAGCGACAGCATGGCGTAGAACACGCGAAGAGGAGAGGAGAGTTGCTTCCCCCGGTGAGGTGACGGTGCGAGTACTTCCGGCGCCAAAGCCCCCCTTTCGTTTGCCCTTCTCCACCTTTATATATATATATATATATATATATATATATATAATATAT